CATTTAAATAAATACTCGTTAATATAAATTTAAATGTATAGAAATTAATTAAAATATATTTAAAACTAATCTAACTGTACCTACTTTAATATATAACTAATACAGATAGTGTTACAATAAATTACCTTATTGTTGTAAAATTCATTCTTAAAGTTTATTGATATCTCACCTTGATTTAAATTATTATATGAGTTCATAATTAATAAAAAACAAAAATGTGTATAATCAGAGTTTCATTTTATAAGTTTAATATCTATAATTATAGTTTATCAGCTAAATAAATATTTATGTATGAAATTATTTTGTTATTTTCTTATTAAATATAAAATAATACTAATCCTAATTTTTCTTTATATAAAATTGCAGAATGCGATTCTAATAGATTTTGAAGCATTGAGATCAAGTGAAAGATCATAAAATTATTTATCGACAGTTGGTCATAAAAACATTACACCGTCCTATAGAAACTGTAATAGACATTAATATAGATTCTGTTAAAAAGTATCAATTATCAGCAAAAGATCAATGGCAAGTCAATTTTACTAGCAAATAAATTCATGGATTAAATTTTATAGACGAAAAACCATTGGATATAACTGGGCTGGATCAAATAATAATTTACAAAACTTATTAAATTATTTCACAACGTATAATGAATTATTTTTATTTTAAGGTCGACAGATAGAAAAAAAAATCTTTTTAAAAACTGGAACTACAATTATTTAGACATCGAACTTTTTAGGTTGGATAATATTAAAATATTGTTATTACCACAAATATTTTAAAAAGCATTGTTCTTTTTGCGATATTCTATCTTACGAACAATTCTTGATTAAACAAAAAATAGATATATTCAAAATCAATACATTGTATGGGTAGGTATTTAATAAATAAGTAACAAATATAATTTAAATAATTATTATCAATATATTGAACTTTTTCCCTATTTTACTTTATTTTATTGTAATATTATTATTATAGGTTGTCGTGTTTTAAATTTATTCAGATAATAGGACAAAGTAAATTGCAAATATATATTAATAATTCTCAACCACATCGGATATTAGTACAAATTGTAAAAATTATTATCGAAAATTAAGTTTATATGAAGCAATAAATTGACACCTACTCGCTTAGAAAAAATAATTAATTGTTAAAAACATTTGATAATTAATTTCATTAACATTTGTGATTACATTTTGTTTGGATGTTATATTATTTCAAATTGTCACATTTTAATTTACTCAACAAATTTTTATTTTAAAAAATTATTATTACAAATTAGTACAACTTAATTTTATAATAAATTTAATAATTAAACGGAATATATTAAACTTATTGTTAAAATAAAATTAATTAAGATTTGTGATCAGAAAATTAATTTAATTAAAATTTGTGATTAAGATTTCTCTTAAAAAATTAATTTTGTAATCAGGATGGGTCAAACCACTACTACTTACGAGTAAGACGAAGTTTCTAATACGCTTTGTTATTACAGTATATTTCTTACTCGTAAAATCCGTTGAATATCATATCCTTCCATTATATAACAAGTAAATTCTTTTCTTTTAATGGCTTCTGCCAATTCATCGAATGTTTTCGGTAAAGGCTCGTCAACTTGCACAGCCAAAAAAGAAGTCAAAACTCCCGCATAACCCCACAACAATACGGCTACCATTAGCAACCAAATTCCAAATGTTATTCTAGACGACGAACGATTCAAATTTCTGGTGTCCACTCCTATAGAAGAAAATTACTGTTTTAAATTAAATATTATGTGCCATAAAATTATATGATTTACAAGTTACCTTGAAACAATAATGTACTGAGTAGATACCAGTATATACTTGTAAGAGTCCAAGGATTTCCTTCCGTGTGTCGCAGGAATATTCGAAATATTAATCCGAAGAGAATAACACAGAATGCCAAGGCTATCCAAATCTTATTAATTTGATAACAAGGAAATGACATTATTGCATTGCAAATATTTTATTAGCATTTTAAAACAATTGAAATAAAGTCGTTATATAACTTGTACCTGTTTTGAAAATGAATTAAAAATTGTTTTCCAATCGAGTTTCTTTTTCCTTTGCTTTATTATGAAAGTAATCGATTCAACTCTATTGACCGCAACGAAGTCCACATATTGAATTGCATCAAAAGTAACTGGTACTGTTATATGCGAAATATCTGCTAGCTGAATAATAAAAAAATACGAAAAGTTACTATTTATAATTAAGAACAAAAAAGGAAAGTAGCACATTAATCACGCGATGCTGCATGAAATCTCTAAATAGATTAACAAAGTTTTTCAAATCGTATAACATCGAGTTGGAAAGTTCTATATTAACCCTTCTATGATCAGGGATACAATTAGAGTTTCTATTAAGTGTAAGGTTGCCGACTGAAAGGGGGAATACAATTACTCCCGCGTCAGAATGAGCGAAAGGAAAACTGCGTATGTGGGCGGTAGCGAAGGAGGTAAATGAAGAACAAGTGTTTTACAAGAGAAAACCCGTTTATTTGTTCGAATTGATGCTTACATCGATATTTGACAATTCCAAAATCTCGGTGTTCCTATGTTTCATCGGAAGCTGCGGCGTCCTAGGTGATCGGCGGTTGCACGACACAATCTAAATCAGAACGGTAAGCTTAATCCAGAGGAGACTTCCTTTCGACCTTGAAGTTCCGATTTTCATACTTTTTCCTCCACTATTCGCATTTCGGATCGGTCCCTCGTCCCATTCCTCGCTTCCCGATTGGTCTCTCCTTTGTCTCCAGGTTCGAGACGAAACCTTTTCGGGTAGCGGGAAATGTCCGATTCGAGGTGTCCATCCGATATTTCTTTGTTGACTCTGCTCGGTGACTGTTTATAAAACAATAACACCCGCACTCAAAACTCGGGCCGTTGTTTATACCATTTTTTGACGTCTAAGAATTTATCGACCATTTTCATCTTTCATCTATCAAAAATTCCTTTTTTTTTGTTCGAAAAGGTTTATCTTGTCCAACATTTTATAGACACGCGAGTGAATGACCTACCTGTTTATGAGCGCTCGTGTTAGAGTTTGTCTTCCGCTAAGACCTTGACAGATAGTTTGAAACAAGTCTCGTTGTTTACATCTTGTGTGGCGCAAGAATGTCACGGTTTACTCGAGTTTGAACCTCGTCTGGGAACCGACATAAGTAGTTTTGTGGGTTTTATTTCTATTATGTAGTCCCAACCTAATCGTTGAAAATTTGAGATAATTTTGTTTTTGCTTAACGTCTAAGCATAATACAATAGAATGTTATATAATTTTGATAATACATTGATCTGATTAGAGTACGTAGATTATCTAGGTACTTTAGATTTGATAAAATGAGTGCACTCCTGTTGGCTACAAAAAGCGTTAGAATAGGAGGAGAATTAAGAAGAATTACGCACAAATACCTTATATTTTAGTTGCACCAATTCAAATATGTTAAAATCTTCCAGCATTTCAGAGAGTACCTTCCGCGAAACTCTTGCTGTGGCGCATCTGCTGGAAAAAAGTATTAGTGATTAGAAAACTACAAAACAGTTAATAAAATAATAAAATTAATGTAAAGTTTTTTATTACTCATAATTTAAATATCGTACAAACGGTCACACAAATAGTCTTAAAACGATTGAATTATTTTAAATTTCTTATTAAGAAATTAAATTAATTAATAAATACGGTAAGGCTAAGATCAAACAAAGGCAAATTAAAATTAATTATATTATAATAATTAATTCCTACAACTTATAAAGAATTTTATACTTAACTTGAAATTTAATATATTTTTCAACAAATTCGTTATTTCATAATTTCTTGCAAAAACTTCTTCCTCACAGGTAGAATTTGTAAGAGCCCCTGTCTGCAAATGGAAAATTAATAAAGATATAAAAAAATAACGATGTAAATTGATAATTAGTGCGACATAAATGTAATATTGTGGCATCATTAAATGTTCTTCAATTGATTGCCAGAGACTTTTTTATTTATAAAAAACCCTCTTATTATTTTCAAGAAGAAGCTACATTCCTTCACGAATTCGTTTCACTTGGTTTCTTTTTACAGTCCGGTCCAAAGTATTGTATAGGTCAAAAAACACTTCTACCGGTCTGTACAATAAAAAAAGTTAGACGTTCGTGAGAAAACAAAAAACGTGAATTTTTACTAGAAACTGTATTAGAATTGAAATGACTATTGTTTATTAATAAACGGTACTCGTGGGTAAGCTTAATTTCACATTATTTTAATTGTACTTTATGGATCACCTCCGAGATCATTTCCCAGAGCTAAATCTTAGTTACGCCACTGATAATAAGTAAAGATGAACAATTCATTCTAGAGAAAAACACAAGGGAAGTACTTACAATTGTTAAGGGCAACCTCCATATTTCCTTTTTGTTTTCAGATTCTGAAAATTAAAATATTTTTTTAATATTCATAACAATACAATATACCTGTATGTATTCTAATTTACATAAATGTAACATTTACAAAATATATTAAATTTTATTCCTAAGTACAAATTTTTAATAAACATTTTGAGAACTACTGATTAATTATAGCATAAATAGATGTGACATAGTTAAAGTAATTTTAGTTTTTAGGTGTTGAATATCCATTTTTTTGAAGAAACATCTTGAGAAGAGGGCTTAAAATACGGTCTGAACTGAAAGACCTGGAAGATCGCATCATCCAGCATGAAGGAAACCTTTTATCATGTCACAGGATTTCGATCCTAATCACATATCAAAATTATAGAAAAATTGTTTATTGGGATATGGTCACAATGCCTGGAAGAAATTTTTATAGTAGTCTCTTGCACCTGTATATATACTTTTCCTGTTAACAAGAGAGTCATGCCTTAAAAATAACATTGTTTTGCAAAATATATTTAAATTGAAATAATGTGACTTTTGCTCCAAACTGGAGGTTCCTATATACTTAATTGGGGCCTCCCACTCCTAAACCTTCCATCAGTGGTCTCAGCGTTAATTCATCTAACTCCGTTCACGAGATTAAGAAAGAACAGGCAACAATACGGACAGTGCAACAAACGAACACCCATAGAAATGTATAAGGTCCGTAATTCTAAAATTGCAGCCCAAAATAATACTTATTCTTCAATACGATACAACGATATTATTTTAATTTAAAATTCGATTATTTGACACGAATCAAGTTGTATTTTCTAATTACTTTAAGTACAAATGAAGAAGTTTAAGACATTTTCCCACGAATAACGTTAAAATTCAGCTGCACGATATAATACTGCGAAGTCTGAAAGGTTATTTGTCATTAAAAATATATTCACTATTTTATTTATTCTAAAACATTTTTTTCTAACAGAAAATGCATTACATCTATCTTTAGAAAAAGATTTTAACGTGTATTTTATTCACAAAAGACGACATTCCAACATAAAAATATCACTAATAAAACAATTAAATAAAGAAAAATAACTTACTGGACTGTATGGCGTTGAACAGAGTAATTAATGAAAAGCACATTAATAGAACAGCGGGTGGCATTTTCTGTCTTCACTCGATCAACAGGAATAACGCGATGGTAGCATTAGAATTGACAATGACCGAAAGTGTCACAAATTTTCCAATCAGCGCTGACGTACTTAAAGGAAATGAATAATGATTGGCTAAATTTCGACTGTGGGTGGAGAACATGCGCGTTTCTGGAATTCTCCGTTCTGTAATAAAAAACGTATTCGTGTCATTTATCGATTTGAATTCCAGCCTTTAATCTTGTCATACAACTTTTTATATATTGATATTTTGTGTTTTTTAAAAATATTTTTGCCTTTCGGACACGAAGTAGGGCTGTTTTATAGAGCCCATTAAGTATTGGACTTAGCCAGCAATGGAGCGGTCGGGTAACGAGGGCAAAACCCTAGGGATAAAGGAATTTTCAGAGTTTGTCGTATGCACCAACCGTAAAAATTTAGTGTTTTCCGAGTTGATGAAATTCGATCTCTGGTGTATTGGCATCTTAACTGTTTAGTCTGTCTATACGTTTTTATAAACACTTTTTGCGGTAACTGTAGTATTAGAAGTTTGTTTGTGCCTTCTATGAAATAGAACTTTGTTAGATAAATATATGTTATACATACATTTGTTAGATGTTTTCTCTAAAGCAAGATATTCCTTCGAGTGTTATTCGTTAGAGAGAGCAATCAACTAGTAAATATAGCTTATTGTCTATACTAGTACTTTATAAAGTCTGCAATACCAGTAATTCTCGATATTGTTTGTTTCTGAAACACATCTTTATTATTTAATAGTAATACACAAGTGTAACGAGTAAGTATTTATTGTGATAACGTCACGATTTGAAACTGCAATTTTTTATCACATTGTCTACGCTTTTAGTAGTGTCTTGCCTTTATACATTAAACTTTTCCTGTTGACAATAGAGTAATACCTGTCGTGTATCTAACTCTGTTGTGGAGGAAAATGTTGAATTGAAATAACGTTATTTCCGGTTGAAACCAAAAGTTTGTATGTAGTTATTCGAGATTTCCTGCCCGTAAAATTTCCATATCTGATTTTCGACTTTCATTTATCTTTGATCTGAGGATTAAGGAAAGACAGATAAACAGATGAAAATCAGTGCGAAATTATCGGTCTGCAATTCTCGAAAATTGCAACCCAATTAACAACACAATAATATAAACTATATTTTTATACACTAGAAATTCATATATAAACAAATAGTTCAAATATCTCTATGTTTCTTTTAATCCAAGTTCAAAAATAGGTATATATGAAATTCCAGTGTTCCTATTAAAAATTCTCTCTCTATATATATATTGTAAGCTACCACAATTTGATGTAAACGCAATATATACCATTAGAGAAAATACATCTTGCTCAGAAATTTATTGACAAAAACAGGATAATAAATGTCAATTAACACTAATGTTTTATTCATTTTAATGAAAGTTCTAATTGCATTAGTAGCAACAATCTTGTTGGTGCTAATTAATAGTGTTGTGTAATGGATTTACCATTAAATCATTTTTGCGTCAACCTATTCACAATTTTAAATTTAACCAAAATAAAGGCTTAAAATCCTAAATAACACAAGGAATAATAGTGATAATTCACAGGATGATACCACCCATACTCTAAGATAATGTTCCTGTCTAAAATGGATTGATGAGTAATAACTACCGCTTAATATAACAAATTACGTACACATATATTTCTACGAGGATAGATTTAGAGAGGGGGATTTCTCCCGACGCACATTAGACATTCGTTTTACTTTTCTGTCTCTGTTATAAATAACATAACAGAGGGAAAGTTTGATAGTCGGATTTTTACATTTTTTGACCCAGGAGACATTGAAACGTAGAAGAATACAAAATAGTTTTTTAAATCGGGATTTTCGATGTATGAATAATAAATAGTGTGTATTTGGAGGGGTACGAATGTGTTCACCCTCTATGAAGTTTAATAATTCCTGTAGTTTTTGTGTAAAATATATGAAATTTTGCAGAATGGTCCGTGTGTTAGGGAGATTAATGCTATTAAGTTTTGATGGTTAAAAGTTAACGAAGTGGGAGATAAAGAGGAGTTGTGTGTCGTATCTCGAATACAGTCAGACTTAATGACGATTTTACTCGTTATTAGCATTTACAATTTTTAATAAAACACACCTCTGCCATAAAAACAAAACTGTTTGCCATTTTTTGATTATAAATAATACAAAAAGTTTTTAATAATAAAAGGCTGTTACAGATGGCACCCCAAACGCATTTTAAATGTTGCCAGGAAAGTCAAGCTACCCGTCGCTGGATTTTTACAACTTTGTATAATGAAGAAAAACCAAGTTAATTTAAATGGATTTTTCTTGAGTTTGTTGTAAGATTGATGGTGGTTATGGTCCGGATACACTGCTTTAACTGTCTTAGTCATTTAGTAGAAAATCAAGCAATTCAGATAATTTAATTTTTCTGGAGTTTTACAAAATTTATTGGATTTTTCCTTTATCATTAAAAATGTAACTGAACTACATTACGTGGGCGTAAGCGAACATCACAGTAAATATTTTTACCTTCCACTCAAGTTATGTAATAATTTAGGTGTTGTTTGTGCACCACAGATCAACAATTTCGCTTACGCACAATTTTATTCGGGTTCAAAATTCCTTGAATAAGATTGGGTAAATTCTGATTGATACGGCGATGTGTTGAAATTGTGTGTTTCAAACTAATTCAAAGAGAAACTCGTTTTCAGTACTTAATGGTAAATCCACACTCTACACCATTAATTTGCACTGACAACGATATTGCTACTAACGTAATTAAATTGACCATTAAAATGAATAATGCATTACAGTTAATTGGCATTTATTATCCTGTATTTGTAGGTAAATTGGTGTGTGCTATGTATTTTTTTTAATGGTGTCAGTTGCAGTTATCTCGAATTAGGATGGCTTAGGATGCGAAAAATTGTACTTGCAAAAATCGTAAAATTCTTATTTAAAACAATAACTTAGTTTTGAACCTGATTGATATACGCTCGGATATATTTGAACAATTTGTTTAGAAATACATTTCTCTTTTACTTCATCACGTTTATATTTTTCTGTCTTTGATGAATGACAATAAAGACGAGTCTGAGAGACCAAAAAATCCGGAATTACTGGCATTTAATATGTTATAAATGCATTGAAATTACTGCGGATCCAACAATTGATTGAGTTCTCTAACAATATGCAGGTTCATTTCTGCATATCTTTCTATTTTTATAAAAAACTAGCTGCAAAGAAACGCTTCGCTGGGTTTTTAAAAAGTAACGATAGTGAAGATTAAGATAATTACATTATAGCCAATCTTATCCGTTTTCTATTTCTATGGTCCCGATTCTATTTCTGAACGTCTCCTGTTCACGTCCAGTCAAACGAACTATTTTCAACGTTACTGGAACGTTTACAATCGTTCTATAATCGAACCAATATTCGAATTTTATGTTCGAATTAAATTCGAACAAATTCGAACATAAAATTCGAAATAGAAAACCACTTTCAACCACTTTCAGCCCCATATCTCCCGCATCCTTATAGCTATCGAGACGCAACCACCATAGTGCACGAATGGAAACTGGGGCTACTACCATATACAAACACCATTCACGTGCGATGTGTAGTTTTGGCGGAAAAGTGAAATATAGTGACATACATGTCCATTTATATATATAGATATAGATATAGATATTACCATATCGGATAAGACTTTTATCATTACTGATTAAGCTTTAGATCAATAGTCTTTGGAAATTGCAAGAATTTTGGGAGTTTCAATCTGTAAATTAAAAATTACTTTTGAATTACGTGGAAATTTTCACAAATAGAAAAAGTTTATTAAAGTTTGCTGGAAACGGCATACCAACAACAACAAAAAATGCTTCGAATTAAGTTGAAAATTAAATAACAAATGAACTTAGATAAAACTTGTAACTTAAAAAGTAATTTTCATTTTTAAATAAAACGTAATACAAAATATTATTGTAAATTTTTATAATAAAATTTTTAAAAAGCAAAGACGGTCAATACTCCGATCAGTCAATCTGATTCTTATTTTAGTAATGAAAAGTCCCGCTACCGAAAATTCTTTTTTCGATTCAATTGCTGTTAGTAGAATTGTCTTTAATGCATTTAAGAGAAGACAGATGTTATGTGTTTTTCACCTGTGGCCTGGAACACTTTTAGTTCATTTTCGAAAAGCGTTACAGTACAGTACTTATTGCCATCTAGTATTCTTGATTTGTCTATCTCGGATGCCTTAATAGAAACATCAAGCTTATAGCCCAATGATTCGGCAGTTCGTTCGGCTTTAATAATCGGGTTTATGAAGAAAAACATCATACTCGCAGACTTCGTACTCGTTTTTATCCTTGACCAATTTGCACAACTTGCCGTTATTATGCAGTTATTGAAGCTACCAGGCATAGTTAAAAATTAAGACAGTATCAGCGCAATTATTCCAGATATTACAGGACAAGTAAAGAATTTTCAGGGTTCCGCCGCAAATAAGCTACGTATATTGATTATTGACCATTTGTGACATGCCATAACGAGGAAAAATTTAAAAAAACTAATAAGCAGGCTGAAAATGAATAAATACAAACGTATTTTAACAGTTTATGAGTTAATTATACTTTCTATATGCAAAATTTTCTTAACTTTAACACAAAATAAGAAAAAAGGGAACTTTTAGAAATATTGCGGGTTTTTCGGGTTAAAAAGCAGCCGGAATCTCGTTTGAGAAACTCTATATTCCATAATGTTGCAAACAGTGCCGTAACTAGGCAGGTGCAACAGGTGCACCCGCACAGGGCCCACATGAAAGGGGGGCCCAAAATGCATGTATTTGTTTTATTATTTTCCCAAACCTAATTATTTAAAGGGCCTAAATGGAAATTCTTGCACATGGCACGGGAATGGCTAGTTACGGCACTGGTTGCAAACAATAATATTAACAGAAATACCAGATAGGATGTAATACGTCATTAAGTACGTGTTCTTGTGTAAGCATCTACTTTATTGAAATAGCATTTTTCTGTAAATGGTTAAGACATATTATTACAAAACTTTACGTTTTATGAATTCGTATAACAACAAAAATTCTCTGTTTATATTTCAGTTTTTTTCACGTTCCTATTGTGTCCGCTTCTGAATTAATCCACTTAGTGTCTATTATTTTGTTCTATTACAACTATTTCTCTATCTGTGAGTTAAAAGCACAATAAGAAACTGTGTTCGTGGTCTGCTTTTCTGTTTTGTTCTTTGTTTGTTACTTGCAGCGAGAATATTTTTACTGTTACATCACTGGTATATGCTATTCATTTCTCATTTTATTATCACTTAGTCCGTTAACCATTACGTCAACTAAGCTCTGATGTGTAATTAAAATCTATATACATTAAATTTCATGGTGTAGAAGAGTTTTATTTCTATTCCATACGTTGTCAATGATTTTTTGCTGGTAAGCAATGGTAAGCTTCATGGTAAGATAACACTTTTAAATGATCACCTGCGCTTCAAACGAGATCTGAAACAGAAATATTTTATGTGCTATGTACAGAACTTCCTTCGCCAACTAAATAACCAGCAAACTTAGCAACGGCTCGAAAGGCTGTGACTTCCTTTTTACCCATGTTGTCGTTAACTGTAGAAACCTTGAATATGGGTTCCGAGTTTTAAATAGCTGTTATTCATTTTTATATCTTGTACAGTATCTATTACCTTTCTTATACCTTATACAGTAGAGCGTCGGTTATCCAAAAGCAATCCAGTCGGCAAATTTAAATTTTCGATAGTGCTGTGGCGCTGCAACCTTTGGCTATATCTTGGGCTACTCCAATATTTTTTTGGTTGATGTGTGTGTTTTAGCTGGCAGTACTGGCACTTTTGTGTGGTGTTTTTCTTGGGACTGTGTGTAGTGCTGAATCGAACGTTTTTGATACTAGATTAACTTCTAAAGTATAATTTTTTTGTTTTTATATTTTTCAATATATTTATTTTGTTAGTAAAAAATAAAGAAATAATTTTTAACGATACAATAACCACGATTATTATTTTAAAAAGTTTACTTTAGGCTTAACGTCGACGAAAATTTAACGAGAAGCGACACGCAACGGAGAAAAATTTTAACATGGGATAGATTAATATATTTTTTTCGTACATAATCGGTTATCCGAAAAATAAGTTATCCGAACAACCCCCTGTCCCCAATTGATTCGGATAAACGACGCTCTACAGTATATACTACCTTTATTATTTTTGTTATCTTGATTAATTCATGACCTAAATAAACATTATGTAATAAAATATCCGGTTCTTCCACAGTTGTAACATACTATTTCCTTCGTTTTGAAGTTATGTTTTATTTGAAATGCATTTTCCCTGTCAATATCAATGGTCTTTCTTTTCACTTTTTTAATAAGGGCCTGTCTTACTTTATCTAGAGTTATCTCGCGTACATTACTTGTATCAAAGCTTTTTACTGTAAAAATGATAGATATGTTAACTTGCTTGTATCGCTTGTAGAGCGATTGAAACAACTTCGGCATCTTGATCATCTTCTCTTAACGCTCCTAACTGTTCTTCGAGTGATTACGCACGTTGCGTATGAGCTACTGCACTTACATTTCTCATTCATTTGATGCCACTTAACTTTGTTTTCAAGGATGTTTTATTTCTCATATTTTTTTTTTATTTGCTGGATCAAGTTCACCCAGGTGCCTTCTTCTGTTTTCTGATAAATCACGTAGCTAGTTTGAGCTGTGCTACGGTTCGTACTATTATATTGAAGCCAGCTCCAGCCCATTTGTATTTGACTGATTGCTAGGCACTCGCATCGTGTATTACAAAACTCTCGCTTAACAAAAACACCATTTTAAACTTCTTTGTTGGGTAATTCAAAGCAGTCAACTATTATAGTTGATGAATAGCAATTTTCAGCCAAAATTTTGCACTCACCTCTATATTTGGTATCAAATTCTTTACATTTCTCGCTTTTTCCCCCCTTTATAAAGTTGCTTATAATCACTATCAAAGGTTTATACATTTGCTTTAATTAGCACGCCTGGGCCCATAACCAGAAATGTCGTAAATTTCTGAATTGTTTACTCGCGGAGCAGGGGAGTAGAAAAAACGTGCTGTCGATCACACATTTTTTCTAGGTCTGCCTCGCACCCAAAATTAAAAGGAAAAGTATATTAATTAGAAAGTTTAACATTAAAATGTCGATTACATATAATAAAAGAAAAGAAAAATTATAATTATTAATTCTTCTCTACTTTTCGTAGTTTGTTTACGTGTGGTCAACGAGAACATTCTTAGAAAATTATAAAAACCAATTAATGATTTAATATAAAAGTCATCTCGAAATTTAAAACGCATTTCTCATAATATGGAATTTCTTTTGATTCTTGTAATTTGTAAAATTTACGAAACGTTCAAATAGCATGATTTATATTAAAATGAATTGATGAAATTCAAGTTTCTAAGTTCAGAAATCATTTTTTTACAACCCATAAATATATCGATAATACGTATTTATGAATCAAGTTTCTGATAAGTCTTTTAACCTTGAAATCTTCTGTCGACAGACAAGAAAAATTAACGAAATAATTTAATTTCTTCGAAACTGTTCAAATGGCGATTTCTGATAAATTAATTGCAATTGATAAAATATTATTTTCCGAATTTAATCTTAAACTAAACAGGGAAATTAATTAGGAATTAATTACTTCGGCAGTTTATCGACGAGAATGTTTCCTGCCTCCAACCACTGAAAGCGGATGTATTCAAGTATTAAATTACTTTTAAACTGAAAACAGCGACTCTTGTTCTTCTCTAAATTCGAGTGTTTTAATTGTTCCCGAGATGATCGTTGCTTGTTTCTTTTTATTGATAATCGGATGTTCTCTGGGTCAAGAAAACGGTAAGACAAATGATTATTTTTTTAATAACTTTTAACTTTTCTTGGTCAGGACAGACACCACCGGATCTTGATTGACCCGGAAGCCGAGACGGCGATTAGTTCAGTCACGCGAGCGGCCGCGTGCGTGGGCAATAGGATTCGGACCGCGGTGAGAGACAGCGCACCGGAAGTCACTCAAACGGAGATTGGGGTAACGAAACAACGTTTATTCGAAACACGAACGTTCGAGTATATGCGATATCGAGTTCTCAATAGAGAGATATATAGGATATCTAAGATATTTTTGCGATCAGAGAGAGAGAGAGTTTACAACAAATTCGCGTGGCGATAAATACCTTGCGAAGTTGGAGCCGATAGCTATGTAGACATTGTCCGTTGGACGTTCTGAAAGTCCTCGATCGTAATTGGATCACGGTTCTCGGAGAGGTTCGTCCTCACTGGCTATATAGGTCGATGTGGTTAATTTAAAGCTATTTAGAATTATTAATTATTACAAATCAGCAACATGCTGAGCAGCAGGAAACATTTATGAATCTCCTCGTACATTGTTTAAGTATAAAAACAAGAAAATTATGAAATGGTCATAATACCCTAGGATATTTACAATAGCAATATATATACACTTATATACAAGCTGGGTGTTATGAGAAAATGGTATACATAACAAAAGCAAACATACAAAAACGTTAAATCATATTTTCGTACTGAGTACAGATAATTTTATGTGAGTTAGAAATAAACCGTATACTGCATTAATACTTTGGCTTTTACATTTCACAAACATTGGCAATTATAATTAGAGAATTATGTAAAAGCTGTACAGTTACGAGATATTATAAAATAGAGTGTATACAAAAGTTACATGTTAAACAGAAATAATTTTATGAGTATTACAGTTACAATAAATATTTGTATTCTTTATCTATAAAGACATACATAATTACAGTTACAATCGAAGCAAAAGTAGTTTATTACCACTGATCATTAAATACAAATTTATTAGTAACTTTTTTTATATAATATTTTCAATGCCAAAGTATAGCGCGTTGTTGTGTTCCCTATCAGAAAAGTTCTCATGGTCAGTTTTTAGTTTGAAGTTAGTCTCATCACGAATTTTATTTATTACAAGAGTTGCGTTCCTTTTCTTATTTTCAAAAGTAAGGGCGCATCTCGCTTTCCAGATGGTCACTGTTTTCAGTTTAATAGTAACTTAATATTTGAATACATCCGCTTTCAGTGGTTGGAGACAGGAAACATTCTCGTGGATAAACTGCCGAAGTAATTAATTCCTAATTAATTTCCCTGTTTAGTTTAAGATTAAATTCGGAAAATAATATTTTATCAATTGCAATTAATTTATCAGAAATCGCCATTTGAACAGTTTCGAAGAAATTAAATTATTTCGTTAATTTTTCTTGTCTGTCGACAGAAAATTTCAAGGTTAAAAGACTTATCAGAAACTTGATTCATAAATACGTATTATCGATATATTTATGGGTTGTAAAAAAATGATTTCTGAACTTAGAAACTTGAATTTCATCAATTCATTTTAATATAAATCATGCTATTTGAACGTTTCGTAAATTTTACAAATTACAAGAATCAAAAGAAATTCCATATTATGAGAAATGCGTTTTAAATTTCCAGATGACTTTTATATTAAATCATTAATTGGTTTTTATAATTTTCTAAGAAAGTTCTCGTTGACCACACGTAAACAAACTACGAAAAGTAGAGAAAAATTAATAATTATAATTTTTCTTCTCTTTTATTATATGTAATCGACATTTTAATGTTAAACTTTTTAATTAATATACTTTTCCTTTTAATTTTGGGTGCGATACAGACCTAGAAAAAAATGTGTGATCGACAGCAGGTTTTCTCTAATTTGCGGGATTCCTATCAAAATGCCTCTTTACAGCTTCTTTATTACCATCGGGATTCTTATCAAAATGCCTCTTTACAACTCTTTTGTTTGCCTCAGGATTCTTTTCTTTAAATTTTTGTGATGCTTCTTTTATTTTTTTTTTTTCTCCAGCGCCCGTAAATCTTGCACGTCGCTTTCTCTTGTTTTCCATTGTTAACACTTCCATTATTGACACTTCCATTGTTAACACTTCCATTATTGACACTTCCATTGTTACTTAAAACTTTTATTGTTACTTAAAACTTCCATTGTTACTTAGCACTTCCATTGTTACTTAACACTTCCATTGTTGATGGAAGTGTTAAGCCTTAATCCTGTCCCTGTTCCCCGTGGGGAAGAATTTCGAAAAATCCCTTCTTAGTGTGCGTTCTCCTAACTTACCCTAACTGTGTACCAAATTTCAACTTTCATCCATAAACCACGTGATCGGCAGTATCTAATCATATTTTGACCCCCCAGTTGACCATACCCTGTTTATAGAGGGCTCTACTAAATAATAGCTAGGGGCGCACCTAGTGACCGTTTTGGCATACCGTGAGAGAAACCGGTTATATACAGTAGATATTCACTTAATAACGATTTGTTAAATTGCCTACCAATAGATGGTACTACGTGTACTTTAAGTATAAATATAGGAAAAAATTCGCTGCTGAGCCGATGCCGCTGGTGGTCTGGTCAGTTGTGCTCTGTCCTTATGCTTGCGTTGTAGCGTGCAGTTTGGGTTCGCACCACTGGTAGTTTTTTTTCCACTCAAACGCTCCGCTATCAGGCTTGCGTTGCAGCGTGTTATGAGCGGTAAAAAGACATGTCGCAAATTTACTCCAAGTCTTTGTTTAGTAATATAAATTAAACGAAAGTAATTAACACTCGTGTTTCCTGCAAGTAAACGAAGTGTCACCCGTAATCACTAAATATTGTTTATTCATAGCTTGATCTTCCACAAGCAGATTTTAACTGCAGAGCCTTTCTTATCGTATTATTTTGCCATTTTATCCCCCGTGTTCCAAGGGTTTTCATTTGATCAGGATTGAAAATTAATTTTATGTTTGTACTCTGTGTGTTGACTCTAGACTTTAATTTTCTTATCTCTTCGTAGAGATCCTCCTTACTTTTCTGCACTCTTTTAACTCTATGTAACGCATTATGCGATTGAGATTTCAGTTCATTAATCTGTTTTGATTTTGGTGACAGTGGCTGGCTAACAAGATTACCGGAGTCCCGAAATACTGGACCAGATGTCTCATTATCTTCGTCTTCATTCGTGCTTTTACAGTCATCACCATTTTCTTCAAAAAGAAACAAAGTATGCAATAAGAAAAAATAGAATATTTAATAAGGATATTTTAAATTTATATTATAAATATACCTTACTGGACTGCATATATGTCATAAGAAATAAATTTGTAGCATAACTGTGGTCCAAGGTCGGATCTATACGCTCACAATTGTTTCTATGCCCTGTTTTTGGTCCAGAGCATCTTCTTTTAGGTGCGGGTCTGCATTAATAAATGGTAGTATTGTAGGGGGGTCGACTGTACAGATATCTGTAATCGGGAAACGGCTTTATCACCAGACGATCTGTACAAACCTAGCTACACCAAGCTGATTCCCCTGGAACAAACTGGAGCCGCGCAATTCAGACAGTCCGCGTATTTTTTCAACAGACCTTGTATACTTCAGGAATGAACGAGAGGAAGAGAGGGCTTTCTGTGTACTGCTTATTTAAGGCCCACTTGGGTGAAGACAGAAGATGCCGAGGAAAGACGAAAAAAGCTAAGATAAAGATTATTACGTTACAGTCAACCTTACCCGTTTTCACCGAATGCAAGAATTGGGTCCCCTTGTTTCCAGACTAATTACAGAATTCTTAGATTGGTCTAAAAATATGTTCGATTTCCCGCAAAAACGAAAAAAACTGCATCTGCGTCTTGCACGTCGCTTTCTCTTAACAATTCCATTGTTACGTAACACTTCCATTGTTGACACTTCCATTGTTACTTAAAACTTTTATTGTTACTTAAAACTTCCATTGTTACTTAACACTTCCATTGTTACTTATAATTGTAGTATTGCGTTCCTTTTCTTATTTTCAAAAGTAAGGGCTCATCTCGCTTTCCAGATGACCCTTTTGGTCAAAGCAGTAACCCAATTAATTAAGCAATTATTTTGCTTTTTAAAAGGGAAATTAGGTGGAACTTAACGTTTTGCCAGGAGATACAGGTACTAAAAATTTGGTCTACCCAGTGCCAAGTTTGCTTAGCGATGTTGCACTCCAAACAAAAATGTGAAAGATACTTTCATTGTGATCACACCAAGACAATGGGCAGAACGTAGACGCTGGTAGGTGTGAAGATACTCCCTAGTCATCACGATGTTGTTCAGAATTCTCCACCTGACATCTCTCTACTCAGCAGGGAGCCTCCCAACATTAATCCAGGTCTCATTGCAATGAATCGTAGTATACATGAGATCTTTGTTGATACTTTGCTTATAAATGGTCATGTAGACGGTACCGGGCCTTAATTTATTACCAATTTACTCATTATTAATTATGGTAGTAAGAATTTTTCCCCATTTTTTATATTCACTGGAGTTGTTGAAAAGGAAATGGAAATTATCATTATTCTTAGTAATACCATTAACAACAGGACCTAATATATAATGGGTGATGAGGGCAAGAGGATGGTTCTGATTTTTTATAGCATTAACCATATTAGCCAGTTGAAGAGAGTATTCCAGGCTCTCAAGGACTTAAGGTCCTGCAGTCTCCATCCTCCCTGATTGAAATTATTTCTCATTATATTTCTTTTAAGTGGCTCAAAATCACTCTGCCAAATATATCTAAATATGATTTATAGCATAACAGTGCGATTGCTCTGCCTTGGTGACGAGGCATAGACTGTATTTTGGAAATGCAAGTCTGAGAGAAGTTTTGGGCCAATGGCCAAATCTTTACAACTTTCTGGACTTTCTAAAAGTCCCTAATATGTGTAAAGTTATTCAACTATTTATTTACTTTTATAAAATATATATTGTGGTTTGTTTATTTTTATTGCTGTATATTTTTTGTTATTGTTTTACAGTCGACCCCCCTATAACGTACGTTCCTATAACGACAATTCCTATAACGTAGCGAAAAAATTGTAGCAACTTTCGTATAACGTACCTCCTATAACGTCGTTTCGCGACAAGATTGATAGAGTCTGGACCAATAGTGGATGAGCAGCCGAACTACTTTCCTCCGACCCTGCGCCACGCTACGGAGCGGCTAAATTGAGTTTGCTATCGTCTGTTTAGTATTATATATAAATTATATATAAATTAGGTACTGTACATATAATTATATATTAATTATATATAAATTAGGTACTGTATATATAATTATATATTAACTTAATTTATTGTAACTTTATTATAATTATATATATGCTTTCTGCCGCCTGGCAACACGCTACGGAGATTTTAGGCTAGTAAGTTGAGTTTATTATCGTCTGTACAGTATGTAAATTAGGTACCGTAAGTCTAATACAGCACTAATTTTATACATTTCTTGTGAAAGAAACACTTCTTATTCAACGGCCATAAAAATTATTTATATTAATGATGTCTCCAAAGGTCAAGTTATTTTTCTGCCAAAAATTCGTTATCAGAAATTGCGGCCGTCGTTTAGTGTGCTGTTCCGCGATGAAAACCAGCTTTAAGCAACGGCGTAGTCGAACGGTACACACTCGGTAAGTAATCC